AAAAAAAAAACAATTCATTTGAGACAGTGACTCCACCGAACCATGACAGGAGTTTGATCAAGCCAAAGAAATAATAATAGCAATAATAATCCCATTATTTCTCAGGAACCCATCCCCTTAATATTCTGTATTTTACTGAAAATGGTCTTTACAAAAATACTTCAAATCATAGTTTTAGTTCAAGTTATAGCAAGTTTATACATAAAATGAAAGGTTTTACATCTATAAAATGACAATAATATTACCTACATCCTTTTCTACCATGTGTAATGCAAAAATTTATTAGACAATGTCACAGAGCTCTTCAAATGTCTTTGAATTAGGGGCTTATTGAAAGAGGGAAACCTAGGCAAAATGTAAAATTTGTATTATATTATTGGTTAGGCCAGAGCTTCTGAGAAATAACTCCAGAAAAATCCTTAAAGGTATAAGCATCTAAAGTGGGTCTTTTAAATGTTCACCTAAACCTAACAATTAATGAAAAACTTGAATGTATTAATGCTAAATCTACAAGGAGAAATCAATCTGACATTCACAGTCTGATGCCAAGTTTTCAACCAGCATGAAAGTCAATTCCAGACAGCCTATGTTTTTTAATACTGTAAACTCAAATAAAATTCTAGCATAGAGTTTTTCCTATAACTTCCAAAAAAAAAAAATGTTCTTTTCCCCTGGACCATTTTTCCTGAGGCAGCGTATTTTAGGTACAAAACAAAAAGAACTTTATTAGTCCCTCCCACCCCTTCCAGGGCAACATTTGCAACAAAGGAAGGATAAAGGTGTAAAGAGAAGATATAATTTCTATTCAGGCTCATACTAGCACCAAGAAATCAAATATTTGGGGTTCATTCAAAGGAGGTGCCAAGCAGTCAGCAATTTTTTAAAAAAAGAAACAAACCAAAAGAGAAAGTAAAGGAAAGAAAAAGAAGACAGGAGAAGTGAAGGAAAAATTGCTCGTGATAGACACACCGCAGAATCGGAGAAGCAGAATGACTTCTTGCAAAACTGAAACAAACAAGCAAGTCCTCCTTTTAAAACCAGGAAAGCTACAATTCTATTTGAAGTTTCCATTGCCATCTCTACTAGACTACATCTGCTTCTCAGTTTCCTTTCCTCTGAAAAAGAGGACACACACACACACCCCACTTTATATTTGGATGAAGTCAGGAGCCGCATAAATAGCAATAACATGCTACATTACTATAAATTTATTTGTAAGTGAATTTTTCTATCATACTTATCATCATAAGGATTCATTGTAAAGGAGTTCCTAAGTGCAGAAATGTTATTTTTTTAATGGCAAGTCACTGCCGTTAGCTTTCGTTTTCTTCTGATGTTTGACTGCCAGGTAACCTTCACTGAGCACAACACAAGCCTTCATAATGCCTGTTACTACATAAACATGGAAATGTGCTATGGACTGGACAAAACAAGTAATAATAGGCACTGAAAATTTGTTTTAAACATGCATAGGAACTATTTTAACTAAAACACTAGTATAAACAACTCAAAGGAATTGCTGCATACAAGGGCATACGATGGCTCAAATTAAAGAAGCATCACCTTTTTCATTTTATCCCCCCTATTATCAACAACAACAACAAAGTCAGTGAGTGCCATAGAGTTAAATTATTTTCACTGCAGTGTAGAAAATTTTGTTTTAAAGAAAGAGCATACTTACAAAGTGCCAGGCATTAGACTAAATGTTTTAGATACATCCGCTCACTGAATTCTCATAATAGTTACATGAAAAGGATTCCGTAATGGTCCCATTTTATAGGTAAGGAAACTGAATCAAACAGAAAATAAACACCTTGCCTACTGTAACCCAGGTACTAAGCAACATGGGTAAAATTAAAACTCCAGCATTCTGACGCCAAATCCATTCATCCAAATTCAATTTGGATGAATTCCAAACTATAATCAATGGACTCCTGTAGATCCTTGAAAAATGTGAACTCCAGCCACCAGATATAAATAGGAGGGCTTAGAATCCGAGCTAGTAGGGAAATTTCCAGTCTGCAGAGCACCAGAGGATACTACTGGGATACCCTGCCTCTAGTTGCACTGCCTCTGGAGTAAGGCAGCTAGCTGAATTTCATTACGTTGGATACTTTCTGATGAAATTAGAGTTTATAAATTTAAATTTTCATGCTTTAAAATAAAGTTTCTATGGCTCTATGAATATGAAAAAACTAAGCCCAGAAACAGATGCTTTAGAAAGCTACTGTCATTTTGATACCAATTCAGAAGCTCAATCTTTATACAGTAATATTATATGTATCTTTAATTCTGAGATTATAAAAGGCAAGTTAATGCATGAATATGAGACCCTCCCATGCCACTCTGTGCTGAGATGACCTTCACAAGTTTCATTTTCCGTGGATACGGTTAACGTCAGCTCGTGGCAGGTAGGGGCCTTAAAGGTCATCTTTCCTTGTGACTACAGCAAAAACTTGGAAGCAGAAAGGTCAGCCCCAATATCTTGCCATTTTCTTTTTGACAGTCAGAGACTTAAGCAAGAATCAAAAAGAAATCATTGTTTTTGACCAAAGACAGAAATGAGACCACTGATAAAACTGTATTTATATTCATTCTCACACAAGCAGCAATAAATAAATACTTGGAGTTAATCAAAAGAATAAAGATGTTTGTTGTACTTTAAGGTAGTCTAAAATTTGGAGGAGGATTTTTTTTTAAAAAAAAACCAAAACCTTAATTGAACCATATCTCAGGATAAAATCTGCCTCTGCCTCCTACCCAAAATAGGGAAAGGAGGTTTCAATGAGTCCTTTCTTCATTGTGTCTCTTATGTAAGTCACACTTGGAGACTCATTTTGGCTGTTTCGTTGTAAAACGAAATGAAATGGTGAGAGTTCAGATAAAACAGAAATATTGTAATTTCTTAACATATTTTATGGGAAAACAATTCACAAAAAGCTACCCATAGTGTTAAAAAAAAGAATTAAGTATCAATGTGTAGATCATTTCCAGTGAAGGCAATTAGGTTTGGACAGTCCAGATGGACTGAGTTCAAATGCAGGCTTTTCCTCTTGGGTAAGTTACTTAATATCTCCAGTAGTAAATTTCCCATCCATATAATGGATATAATATGTAATAATGTTTAGAAATTCCTTGATACTTTTTCTTTCCTCCCTTCCTTGTTTCCACTTACATGATCTTCCTTAAACCAGAAATGTCCTGTGCCAAGAAATCTTCTTCCATTGAAATAAATTTCTAAGCAAAGTTTGCAAAACCCTAATATCATACTATCTGTCACAATGACACTATAAAATATTCATTTGATCTTAGCAGCAACACATAAACTTCACATGGCATAATGTTAAAAAATTATTATATTTCATTTTATGATACACAGACTGTTCCTGACTTATGATGGTTTGACTTACAATTGTTTGACTTTATGGTGGTGCGAAAGTGATGTACGTTCAGTAGAAAGCATACTTCAAGTACCCATGCAACCATTCTGTTTTTCACTTTCAGTATTGTATTAAATAAACAAATTAGATGAGACGCCTTATTATAAAATAGGTTTTTTGTTAGATGATTTTGCCCAACTACAGGCTAATGTAAATGTTCTGAGCACATTTAAGGTAGGCTAGGCTAAGCTATGATGTTTGGTAAGTTAGATGTATTAGATACATTTTTGACTTAATGATATTTTTAACTTACAATGGGTTTATTGAGACATAACCTCATTATAAATCAAGGAACATCTGTACTTGCTATATTTTTTAAAGAATAATTCATAAAAAACATTTTTAATGTTTTTCTTTGTGTGACATGACATCTCTCTCAATTCACTGAAGTCACAACTCACCATTTGAAGGAAAATTAACATATATGAAATAAATATTTTTAGAACATAAATGGAAATGAAATTCAAGTCCTACAAATGCTTATGCTTAAAAGAGACAAAAAAAGTCTTATACAAAGAACTAGTTTTTTAAGAGGTGAATTTTTGATAGGTAAATATTTTACATCTAGAACCTAAATTTATGTGCCTGGTTTTCAAATCAAGGTGAAAAATTTTAAAACTACTGCTTATCTAAACTACATCAGGTCTTTTTGGAACAAAAACAGAGTATAAATTTTCTAATATAGATGTCGCACATTGATAAGCATTAGCCATCTATTATTTTGCAAGCACAGGGCACCAGTCTCTTCCTACAAGGCATTTACAACCTAGACAAATCATCTGGTGGCATGTTGTCATTTGATTTTCAACCATATCCATTTTGTGTGCTAACAATAAAGGAGTGTGCTTGTATATCCACAACCTTTACGAAAGCCTTTGGTTTTTCAGAGGATTTCTTTTTATTGTGGTAAGAACATTTAGCTTGATATCTACTCCCTTAAAAAAGTTTAAGTGCTCAATATGATATTGTTAACTATAGGCACAATGTTGTACAGAGATCTCTAGAACTTATTCATCTTGCATAATTGAGACTTTATACCCCTTAAATAGCAACTGCTCCCATTTTCTCTCCTCTCAACCCCTGAAAACCACCATTCTACTCTCTGTTTTCATAAGTTTGACTATTTTAGGTACCTCATATAAGTGGAATCATGCAGCCTCTCTTGTTCTGTGATGGTTTATCTCAGTAAAAGATGTTTAAGAGTAACCTCATCAAAAAGAAACTACAGAAATTTCTAGAAGCAGAAATTTATCACTCAAAGATCTTATCTTGGCTAGAAAAATGACAATAAATTGTGCTTTATTTGGCCATTTATATACTGTGCATGTGAATAGATATAATGTAATCGTAATGGAGATTATATATATTGTCTGTATATGTATAACATTTTGTAATCATAATTCTATTTTCTTTTGTATTACGCCATCATTTTTGTTGTGCAGTTCAATACCATATTATTTTTCATTTCAACCACAGCTGCATCATTGCTGCTGCCAGACTCTCTGTTTTGTGGAGAAAATATACAATTTAAAATTGTTTTTTTTTCTTTTTTTTTATCAGAAAGGAAAGTCATCAAGAATTAGATTTTATTTTAGGAACAAAGTAAGGTTTCATGGGAGAAAAAAACAAAGCCTTGGTGTAGAGAAGGTTTGTTCATTTTCTATAGCATTACTGAAGTGTCCGTTTGCCTTGATAAACCTATCAATGTTTGCATCATCTCAATGGGGGAAATGACTTAATTTAACTCTATTTTGGTGTCTCAGCGAAGGTAAGTTGTCTATTTTGAGAGCCTTGAGTTTTCTCTAATTGGGTAATTTTGTACTAGTGCATTTGTGAATGAAACCCCAAAGTTTGCCCAGCTAACTTGCTGCCTTGGTTTCCCCAAGTAGAAAAGGTGGGTGGGCCAGTGGGTGGAGGAGGAGGTGAGGGGAACTGGCCAGTTGTGGCAGAACTGACTTCCGACCTATATCTTGTGTTCATAAAAATCTAGGTAAGAGACAGGTCAATGGTAGATGGAGAAAGTTTTGATTAAGCTGATGCTCTGTTATTTCATGTTCCCTAGTGTCTCTCTTTCAATGCCATCATGGAAGAACTGGGCATCTCGCTCAAGAATCAGAAAAAAATAAAGAAAAAGTCAAGAACTAAGGGGAAATCTTCCTTCACAAGTATTCTTACTTGTCATCAGAGACGGACTCAGAGAAAAGAGACTGTGGCATGATCCAAGAAAACACCTGTAGAAAGAAAAAGGATATGCTCACTAGAGATTTTTGGAGAAAGGATTTCTGATGAGTGTGTGATGTGTTTCCATATATCTATATCCATAACTCTGATTATGTATACAGATATAAGAAATGCAAAAGTTTAAAAAGCTCACATAGATAGCTCACTTCTCACTCGGGAAGTGACACCAGTTCCTTTGAAATGAATTTGTATGCTCACTTATTTTCCATTTTCTCTTTTGCCCCAATAAATCGCTGTGTGTGCTTTCTAAATAATAATAAAACAACAAGGTTTTCTTTTTTCCAGAACAAGCTTCAGCCTTGATTTGTTCCCCATGATTTACTCCCATTGACTAGGTGTGGAGTTGTGATGTTGTCAGTTGCTTATTTGCTGCTTTGAAGAATCCTCCTACTAGTTTAGTTGACAGGCACAGTCATTTGGGGCTGAGTTTAAAAAAAAATACTTTTAGTTTATACCAAGTACTTAGTTATTATAGTAAAGTGAAACCATTGATCTCTGTGGTCTAAAATCTAATTTTATAAAGAGTTTAAATGGTACTCAGAACATTGGTGAGGTATATCATAAAAGGACACTGAAAAGCAAGTCCATTCAAAAAGTAAGTTTCCACCACTTTTTGGGCACCATCCTAGGTTCTGGGGATCCCATGATGAGGAAGACAAGTAAGGTCCCTGTTCTCACATAGTTTATTATAAAAGAAAGACAAAAAACAGTCTATTAATCAAAGCAGGATTAGCACGTCCTTGGAGGAAGTCAAGCTGAAAAAGCACACAGAAGTATTTAACCTG